ACGTCTCCTCAGATTCATACTTTTGATTCCTTCTTTCCTTCCCTACTCCCAACACAAAAATATACTTCATTATTGGGACTGCTTTAGATGCAACTAAGATATATTCTCAGGAAGATGTGCAAATGCCAAGAAACCTTGAGGTGAAGTAGAATGTTGCTATCCTTAAAAACTCAGTTCTGTGACTAGAATCACAATAGGAACATGATTTTAAATATAAGTAAATAGAGTAATTCACATATGTGTATCATACAAAAGGGGAGGGGGGGGAAACATATATAAAATAATACCTTTAGGGCAACAAATGTATAGATATGCTTTACACAATTGATCTATGTATTGTGATGAACTGTATGAGCCCCAATAAATTGATATAAAAAAAAACCCTTTAAATCCTTCCTGTCTTTTTTCTAGGCATATAGTTGTTTTTTCTTTAAAACTATGGTGTGTTTTTCACAGTATACAAAAGGGCTTTAAAAAAATTGTGGGAAAATTCTATTATGTTTTAATTCCATTTTTCCATGAACTTTAAAAAAATAATAAATCAATATATTTGGTCTTTATACCTCAATTTCTCCAATTTTTAAAAGATCATTTTATTGGGGCTCTTACAGTTCCTATAACAATTCATACATCAATTGTATCAAGCATATTTGTACATATGTTGCCATCATCAATTTCTAAACATTTTCTTTGTACTTGAACCCTTGGCATTAGCTCCTCTTTTTTCCCTCCCCCACCTCCACGAACTCTTTGATAGCCCCTTGTATATATTCCTATTTAAATTTAACAGTCTACTTGATTATTTCCTTGTCATTGAATATTTCACTAAAGTGTGGATTTGCACATTATATACAATTATACACATTACACAATATATGATTGTGTATTGTTTTGTCCAAGGAGTCCTGCTGGCATAATGGGTAAATGCTCAGGTGATAAAAGGTCAGCAGTCTGAACCACTAGTAAAAAGACCTGATGATTACAGCCCAGGTCGCCAGGACTCCGCAAATATACCACAAAACCCAACTCACTGCCCTTGGATGATTCCGACTCATAACGACCCTATATTGACAGAGCAGAACTGCACTGGTGGGTTTCCAGGCTGTAAATCTTTCTGAGAACAGAAGGCCTCAACTTTCTCCTGCAGTAGAGCAGCTGGTTGATTCAAGCAGCTGAGCTTGGGGTTAGCAGCAGAACACGTAACCCACTAGACCACCTGAGCACTTTCCAGTGTAACATAACACATGGGGAGTTGATTTGATTTTTCAACTACTGGGCTAATCCAATGATCCTACACAGTTTATCTTTTCCTTTCCTTTTTTACTGCCTTTTCTTTTGTTGTTTTATAAATACAACTCCAAATCACTCACTAAGATTTAAAGTTCTCTTGGAGAAACAATAGAAACCAAAAAACTTGATCATGACTCACTCATGAATGATTATACATAACTGATGCTCAATAATGCAGTTGCTGACCCACATGGAAGAAGCGCACCAGCCTGTGTGATCACGAGTTGTTGAAGGGATCGGGTATAAAAAGGGATCAGGTATCAGGCATTAAAGAACAAAAAATCATATCATTGTGAATGAGGGGGAGTGCGGGGTGGGGACCCAAAGCCCATTTGTAGGAAATTGGATACCCCCTTATGGAAAGATCACGGGGAGCAGACGAGCCAGTCAGGGTGCAGTGTAGCAATGATGAAACATACAAATTTCCTCTAGTTCCTAAATGCTTCCTCCCCACCCACTATTATGATCTCAATTCTACCATACAAATCTGGCTAGACCAGAGGATGTTCACTGGTACAGATAGGAACTGGGAACACAGGGAATCCAGGACGGATGATCCCTTCAGGACCAGTGGTGTGAGTGGCGATACCAGGAGGGTGGAGGGAGGGTAGTGTAGAGAAGGGGAACCGATTACAGGGATCAACCTCCTCCCTGGGGGACGGACAATGGAAAAGTGGGTGAAGGGAGACTCAGACAGTGTATGATACGACAAAACAATAATTAATAAATTATCAAGAGTTCATGAGGGAGGGGGGAGCAAAGAGGGAGGGGAAAATGAGCTGATGCCAGGGTTTAAGTGGAGAGCAAATGTTTTGAGAATGAATATACAAATGTGCTTTATACAATTGATGTATGCATAGAGTATGATGAGCTGTACAAGCCCCCAATAAAATGATAAAAAATAAATAATAAAGATGCACAACCTCAAAAAAAATAATGCAGTGGCTGTTCTTTTTTTTAATTTTTAAAAATTTGCTGTTCTCTTTGATTTTATTTTATTATTTTAATTTTTTTTGCTGTTCTCTTTTAAACTACACATTATTTTTCCTTTTATAAAAATAGTTTTATTGGCACTTAATCCACATACCACACAATTCAATAGTTCAATCATATCAAGAAGAACTGTACAATCATTACCACCATCAATTTCAGATATTTTCTTTTCCCCCCCATGATTAAATCACCTTTAAAATGAGTTGTGTAATCACCTTCAGTTCTAGAGCTTACTCTTCCTCCAACCTTCATTGTTTACTCTTGAAATCCCCTCACCCCATCTCCCCACCTCACCACACCCTCTACATCCCTTGCATCAGTTATTATCTTTGTGCATCCACTCCTTCTGTGCTTCACAAACTCGTAAACCCAACAGAAACAATAAAGAACAAAAACAAAAGGAAGTGGTAAGGATAAAAGAACAGTAATATAAAGATAAAAATGTAAACAATGGGTTAAAAAAAAGGACCACCCTCAATATTTTAAAAGTCAGGAAAAGAAGTTTTTGTTATGGAACAAGCAAGAGATCCTTGCACCTAGAACAAATTCAGGTCGGGTCTAGAGGGAGATCAACTGAACAAGTATCAAATTTGATCCAGCACAATCAGGATTACAATAATCGATGTTTGATGGAATAGCTATTCCAGACCTTTGCCTGTGGCTAGAGGGGATCTGCCAGTGGCTTAATCTGACTAGATACTCTGCAGGTGACTTTGGGGCTCCCACTGTCCACAGTCTTCTACAAATTGGATGTTCACAATTTTAGCTGTGATATTTTCCCCTTCTTCATATTTAAATTTTATTATTGTCATCTTTGCCTCACACAAGCTGGTGTGCTTCTCCCATGTGGGCTTACTTAACTCTTTGCTTAGGTGACTGCTTGTATGAAAACAAGCCTTTAAAACCACAGACACATCGGGGGTTTAAATGGAGAGAAAATGTTTTGAGAAATGATGTACAGATGCGCTTTACACAATTGATGTGTGTATGGATTGGGATAACAGTTGTATGAGCCCCTAATAAAATGTTAAAAAAATAAAAAAAAATAATAAAACCACAGACACTATTCTGATTGATAGCCAGGCACCATCTGCTTTCTTCACCACACTTTGCTGTAGCACTCTTATCTTCACTGATCCGTTCATGCAGGCGATTATCAAGCATGTTATCAGAACTAGCTGCTCTTGGATTGAAGCTAGTATTCAGTGCGGGTATTTTTCCTTTTTAACATTTAACTTTTATTACAAAAGTAATATTTGCATTTGATTTAAAAAGTGAAGCAATTCTATGAGGCATATAACAAAAACTCTTCGCTTTGCCCTACCTCTCCCCTTAAGCAACTATTTTCAGTTCTTTTAGGCGTTTCTCCCAAAATTGTATTTCCGTATTACTTCACAATATGCCTATTCGGCTATCTTTAATTTTAGTCATTATCATTTGACACTTTATCCTTGTTGGGACTTCCATTCCGTAAGCTTGATCCTGTCTGCACTGGATGCTCTCAGAGCTGCCTACAGAGATTCAAGTTCAGCAATGAAGAGTCAATGAAAATGGGCGACGTATTCAAACTACTCACCCAGGATATTAACACTTTCCTCTCCAGCGAGCAGTGACTGCCATAATCCTGCTAGGCACACAGCACCTAGAAGTGTGTTTTTGCCAATGGAGGCCCCCTGGGGGTGGACGATCTTTTCCCTACGGAGGGACTTCCCCACTTTTCTCTAGGATCGCCACTAGCGCCAAGCTTTCTCACCCTTGGAGAAATATAGAAGGTGCAACTCCGGCAGGCCAATGTCTGAAACCGTGACGGGGCACGGAGCCTTTAACTCGACAATGAGATCAAAGGGGCCTTGGAGCTACTGAAAAGACAATGGCCTCGACCCTGCTGACGCGACTGTACTGTGAACTCCTAGTTAGGAGGCCCGAAAACGCAAATACCTGTAAGCAGAGGTGGAGGCCAAGATCAGGCGCGGGCGGCTTCCAGACAGCTCGTTCGGGCGCAGGCTCCGCCGTTCCCACAGCAACAACGCCGGGCGTACGTCACGGCGCTTGCGCCCCCTTCGCCCCGCCCCCTGACGTCGAGGGGCGGGGCGGCAAGGGAAGCGAATAAGCGAAACCGGTCAGGGGACCTAGACGACCGCAGCGCGCGGCGGCGCAACTTTTGGAATCTGGAATCCCCGGGAGGCCGGAGCCGTGGGACGGCTGCGTGGCCGCACGGAGTCCTCGGTCCCAGCACTACTGCATCGCCGTCGCGCTCGAGCAGCGCCGCGAGACTTTTACAGGCTCCTTCCTCCGTCCGCACTTCATCCCCGCGCGCCCTCCCGGGCGCAGGGCCTCCGCCGTCCTGGCTGTCCCGGCGGTGGCTGTCCAGGCGGTGGCCTGGCTGCTTCTCTCCGTGGCGCCCTGCACACCTGCCTCGGCCTTCTCCGAGGGCTCGGAGGGCGCTGGTAACGCGGAGGGCGGGGCTGCACCTGTGCGGGCCGGGTTGGAGGGCGGAGGGATGGCCAACCTGGGGAGCCTTCCGCCTCCTTCGTTTGTGAACGTACTGTCGTGCACGCAGGCTTGGGAGCCCGGAGCTGGAGGAAGTGAAAAGGAAAAGATCTCGCGTGCCTTACATTCCCCTCCTTACTACTCTGCACGTGTGCGTCTTTGGAGAACCCGGCTTTGGCGAGGCTATTATTAAAAGTACAGAAAATGTACAGCCGAGAATGAAGCGCTTTGGGGTGCTCTTGGAATGCGTTGCAGTTCATGACCACTCAGTTTCGCAAAGCCTGGGCGCTCGGTATGGTGTGAGAATCCCTCTTCAGAATTCGAGATTCGAAGGAAATGACCAGCTTTGTTTTGCAAACACCTGAAATATTCACTGGATTGAGCTAGGGCTTCTTTGGGACCTTAGGCTGCGCAAGGGCCTTGCTGGCTTTTTTGAACTCGAGTACGGGGTTAGTAGTCTTGTGCTTGGTGCTGTGGATCTAGTCCTGAGCCAGACAAATGGCCCCAACCTTCACACATCTGTAGTATATTAGAGGGGGACAGACACGTGCAGTAGTAATTACAACAAAGCGTATGATTCACTGTCACGGAGTACATTCCAGCTCAGACATGTTGGGTTGCTAACTGCAAGGTCGGACATTCGGAACCCCCCAGCCACTCTACGGGAGGAACATTAGGATGAGTGGTTCTGTGAGAATTTACAGGAGCCCTGCTGGTGTGTGCAGGTGACAACCTTGCTTGCTGAAAATGAGGAGGACTTGAAGCACTTGATGATGAAGATCAGGGATTGCAGCCTTCATATGAATTACAGCTCAAATGTAAAGAAGACCAAACTTCTCACAACTGGATCAATAGGTAACATCATGATAAAGGGATGAAAGATTGGCATTACAAGGATTTCATCTTGCTTGGATCCACAACCAATGGAAGCAGCAGTCAAGAGATCAAAGGACCCATTGCTTTGGTTAAATCTGTGCACAAGACCCCTTTAGCGTGTTGAAAAGGATGAGAGGTTACTTTGAGGACTAAAGTGCACCTGACCCAAGCCGTGGCATTTTCAGTCGCTTCCTATGTATGTGAAAGTTGAACAGTAAATAAGGAAGACTGAAGAAGAATGATGCAGTTGAATTACGGTGCTGGTGAAGACCACCGAACGTGCCATGGACTGCCAAAAGGACAAGGAGGACAAGACTTCGTCTTACATACTTTGACCATGTTGTCAGGATAGGCCAGTCCCTGGAGAAGAACATCATGCTTGGTAAAAAAAAAAGACAGTGAAGGAGAGGAAGATGGTGGACTGACACAGTGGCTGCCGCAATGGGTTCGAGCATAGGAGCAATTGTGAGGATGGCCCAGGTCAGGCGGTGTTTCATGCTGTTGTGGATAGGGTTGCTATGAGTTGGAACCAACTCAACACCTAACAACCACCACCACGATGATTTACAGCCTCCGAAACCCAACAAGGCATTCTGCTCTGCCTTATAGGGTCACGATGAGCCAGAATAAATGGCAATGAGCCTTTTCAGTATGTGGTGACCATCTCCTGGTGGATATGATTCATTATAATAGAATGTAAGCCTAGGAACTGCACCTTATACATATATATTCTCTCCAAGCTACCTTCATTAAAATTAAACATAAGAGAAAGCTGGCTTTTACAAGAGGTACGTAAGTTGTTTATTTAGGAAAAGATTATAGATACTTCTTTCACAAAGACAAGGATTCCTTAAAATGAATAGGTAGAGTGAAAAGAGATTAAGCTTTAAAAGTCAGATGAACATTGTTTCTCACTCAAAAAATCAGTGTCATCAACTCATGATGGCCCCATCGGTCAGAGTAGAACTGTACTATGGATGCCTGACATTGTGTATCTTTATAAAGTAGAAAGCCTAATCTTTCTCCCACAGAGTGGCTGGTAGTTTATGGTTATAAATCCAACAGGAAACCCAATAAGCCACCAGGGTTCCAAATAATATTAAAGCAGACACTTGTACAGAATACATAACTATATCATAGGCCCTATTCTAAGTACATTCACATGTATTATTCCTCTTGACCATTAACTGAAAGATAAGTATCTTGCTCAAAGTCATGTAGATATTAAGTGACAAACATTTTAAGCAAGGCAACCTAACTCCAAAAGGACCCTGATGGTGTTGTGTTTAGATGTTGAGCTGCTAAATGCATGGTTGGTTCAGACCCACCAGCCACGAGCAAAGAGAAAGATGAGGATGTCTACTCCAGTATTCCAAGATTTACAATCTTGGAAATCCTAGGTAGGGGCACCATGAGTTGGAATAAGGAAGCGTGCAGAAGCATTGATGTTCTTGAATTGTAGTTTTGGTGAAGAATTTTTAAGGTACCGTGGACTCCCTGAAGAACCTGCAAATCTGTTTTGAAAGAAGTACAACCTGAATCCCTCTTAGAGGAAGACCCTCCATTTGATGGGTTGACACAATGGCTGCAACAGTGGACTCAAGCATAATGATTGAGAGAATGGCTGGGGACCAGGAGTGTTTTTGTACATGGATTTGCTGAGTTCAAACGGACTGAACAGCAGCAACATGAATGTGAATGGACGTGATGGCAGTGAATTTACCTCTAGGGTCAACCAATGTTCTTCCTCCTCTGCTAAACTGAAAGTGGATTTATGGGTAGCTCAAATTCCTTACGTTTTTCAAATTTTGTTTGTTTTGTTTTTAGGCTCATTGGGTTTTCTGTTGTAGTAAGGCTTATTTATTATTTAAAGGTTTTCTAATTCTTTCATTGAGTGCTTATTGCTTATTTTATTTAAAAGGTTTTGTTGTTGTTGTTCTCTTAGGCATGAAGGCCACATGTTCTGAAATTATTTTGAGGCTAGAGGTTTTGAAAGATGGTTTTCACAGGTAAGTACCCATTAATTTCTACTCAATTTAAAATATTGTTCCCAGTGCAGGGAGTACTAGAATGGATTATGATGTTGTATATGTAACTCTTTTTAAGAGTGGCGTAACTATGGAAGTGTATGATATGTGAATTTTTATATCAATAAAGCTATTAAAGAAATAAAATAAGATATTGTTCTATGTTACTTAGAGCAAAAAAAATAGCTGAAACATGGATAAATTTGACAAATCACTTCCTTTCTTAAAGTTTCTTAGTGGCATATGAATGTGGTTTACATTCGGAAATAATGATAAAACTAACATGATAGATACATTATCATGTATAAGTATTATATACACCCGTATGAACACATGATTCTGTTCTGTTTTTATGGCATTAAAATGGCTTGGAAGTGGCATTTTTCTTACTTTTCAGAACAGAGAGCAAGGACTTAGAGAATTTAAATGACTTGGTAGGATTTAGGTTTACAGAGATCTTAACTCAAATTTATGACTATCATTTTCTAAAGCTAAACCATCATGAGTTTGTTTCTGACTTATTTTCTCCTTCCAAATGATTAGTTTCCAAAATAGAAGTTATCCTCAAAAGGTAGATATTTTCCAATATTGAATATATTTGAGACAGTGGTAAAAAATTGTGGAAGCAGTTTCATAAGAAAACTTCCAAAATGTTCAGTCTCCTCAAAGTATTATTTTGAAATAACTCAGATATTTGTGATGAGTTCAGAAACATTAAGTTTTAAAGTCACTTCATTTTGTATTCACCTTAAAGACATCTCACTTTCTTCTCTCTTCAAAGTGAGTGTACTTGATGAGTAGTTAGCAGGAATACAGTAGGAAGAACTTGGGATTTTCTCCCTCTGTTTCAAACACATTGGAACTCAAAATGTAGCTCTGCCATTTAGTGTCTGGGTGCCTTTAGATAAATTACTTAGGTCTTTGCTACCTTATCAGTAAAATTGTGGCCTGATAGTGTTTCTTCATTAGGGTTGTGAGGATTAAATTAGAGTATATGGAAGGTACCTTACTTGTTACATAGTAAATACCCAGGAAATGTTAGCTGTCACTACTGGTAGTAAAGTGACCAAGCTGAGCAATACTGTTCCAGTCACAGAGAAGATGTGACTATAAAGTAATAAAACTGATTTTGGGAAGGAAGACAGTAGAAAAGTACTTCTGAAAGAATTTTTTGATGGAGTTCCAAAAGCATTTGTCTACCATATACATCACTTGGTATATAGCTTCTCTCTATAACTGGGTGCATAAAACTGTTATCATGGCCTGAATTTTAAGAGGAGCAGGGTATGCCAAATAATTCCATTTTGACTGTTTCACAGTAAATATTCTAAGAAATTTTCGAGAGATTCCCTAAAGAGGTTATTGGAACAGCACATGTGGGTCTCTGGGGACACATCCTGAAGATAGAAAGCAGGGTGCAAAACTGAAGAGGAAGAGTGACAAACCCCCCAAAAAAGCTTCAGAGAAAAACAGAAACCCTAGTTATTGGGAACTTTCAATAAGATTATGAAAAGAAGAGTCTGTCCTTTCCTCCTATTTCTATCTTGTTGATCAAGAAGACTTACTTCCACCCTGGAAACGGTGAAGCAAATATTGGTCATTGGGAGCTGACGTGCAGAATAAGTAAGGGGATTACACACCAGAATCTAACTACTATATATGAGTTCAGGATTTCCCCTCCCTGCTGAGCTGTATCTCCATAGCAATAGGAGAACTGGCGTAAAAGATTGCTGAGTTTCCCTTTGTAATCTTTGGGCACAACCAGAGAGTGAGGGCAAATTATATAACAGTGAGGTTAATGTTGATTCTGGGCAAAACTCCAGACCATATAGATCTTGACCAAAGGTAAAAACTACCAGAAAGATGTTTATTTGTTTTCATTGACTATGCAAAAACATGTGACACTATGGATCATAACACATTATATGGATAATGTTACAAAGAGTGGGAATTCCAGGCCATGGGACAATCATTTAAATAGAAGAAGGAGATAACGGTGCTTTAGAAAGTGCATGTCAGGGTGTATTCTTTCACCACACTTATTCAGTCTATATACTGAACAAATAAGCTGAGAAGCTGGGCTGTATATGGAAAAGCACATCAGGATTGAAGGAAAGCTCATAAACAATCTGTGATAACGCAGATAACGCAGCCTTGCTTGCAGAAGGGGACAGGACTTGAAGCTCTTACTGATGAAGGTCAGAGACTGCAACCTCCAGTAGGAATTATACCTCAACAAAAAGGAAAATCCTCACGATAAGGACAAAGTGTCAAGGATTTGATTTTACTTGAATCTACAATCTGCTCCTGGAAGTAACAGTCAAGAAATCAAATGACAGGCAACTCTGCTACAAAAGACTTCTTTAAATTGTGAAGAAGTACAGATGTCGCCTTAAAAAAAAAAAGATGTCAACTTGAAGACTAAGGTGTGTCTGACCCGGGCCAGGGTATTTTCTTCCTTTCTTTTTAAAACTTCTTATTGTGAATTTTCTGAATGTTTACAGAGCAAATCATTAGTGTTACTTTCAACAATTCACATACATTTTGTTTCATCCTACTTTAATGCTTTCACTGTAACATCACTTCTCCCACTTCCTTTGGGTTCCCTTTTTCCTCCTTTCCTAACCTTTCTGAATTTGTCCTTGGTATTGGAAGGTGTGTATATCTCACTAGTGCTGTGCCCCTTATAGACCTGTGTATTGTTTGGTTGAAAAATGAACCACAGAGATGAATGAATTCTGTTTCAGACCTAAAGGTTAACTAAGGGCTATAATTTCAGGAGTTCCACTCTCCATCTGATTGGTAAGCCTGGTGTCTTATTATTTTGAGTGTTGTTCTATATTTTTCTACCACTTTATCCAAGACTTTCTAATGAGATCCCTTTCAGGAGAGTTCAAAGCCATAGTATTTTCAGTTGCCTGCATGCATACGAAAGCTGGACAGCGAATAAAGAAGACTGGAGAAGAATTGACGCCTTTGGCTTATGGTGCTGGCAAAGAATATTTGATATAACATGCACTGCCAGAAGATCCAAAAAATCTATCTTGGAAAAAATACCAGCAGAAAGTGCCTTAGATGGAGTATGGCAAGACTTCATCGCTTATACTTTAGACATGCTATCTGGAGGAACCCATCCCTGGAGAAGGACATCATGATTAGTGAAGTAGAAGGTCAGCAAAAAAAAAGAGAGAGAGAGAGAGGAAGATCCTCGACAAGGTGGATTGACCCAGTGTTTGCAACAATAGGCTCAAACAGCAACAATTGTGAGGACGGTCAGAAGCGACAGGATGGCTAGTAATTTGTTCTGTTGTACATAGAGTCTCTGAGTCAGAACGTAACAACAACATAATAACCATACTGTGCCTCGTGACATGAATTTATGGAAGATATAATGGGTGATTCTGACAGAGTATAAATATTTAATTTGACTCAATCTATTTGTGGATAATGCATTTGAAAAGTTATATTGCTGCTCATTTAAACATACTATTATGCTATTTTACTTAACAATTGAAGGAAGAAATTTACTGTAAGTGTATTTGTCTTACAGAGACCTTTTAATAAAAGTGAAATTTGGAGAGAGCATCGAGGATTTACAAACCTGCCAACTCTTAATTAAACAGTATATCCCTGCAGGACTACTTGTGGATCCATATGAGTTGGCTTCGTTACAAGAAAATAACATAACAGAGGTATAACTATAATATTTTTTGAAAGAAATTAATTTAGGAACACTAGAATTTGGATTAAGGTAAAACAGTAGGCAAGTCAGCATTGTACTGATTTCTCCCTCCCCCATTTTGTTAGAGTGAGTAAAGTGATATTTTTAGAGCTATGATGAAATGGTTTAAAAAGTGTGATATTCACATTAGAATAATCAGCCATTTACAATCAAAAGGGCAACATTTACCCAAGGACAGAGTTTAAAGGGTTAGAAAAGGAGGGATGGAAACAGGAGGAGGGAGGTAGTAGGAGAAGTGATGTTACATTGTGGGGATTGCAATCAATGACATGAAACAAAGTGTGTATGACTTGCTGAATGGAAAACTGATGGTCTGCTCACCCAATTTTAAAAAGCAAGAAAGAATGTAGTGTCGAGAAAAAACCACTCTTTTTAATAAAATGACATTAGTTAGAAATAAACCAACTAAACTGAGCTAGTTGAATGTTACGTGCTTTTTGGTAGAGTGATTCATAAGTAACTAAGAAAACTATATGTGTTTAGTGCATTATGTCTTGAGATTAAAGATGAATAACTACTGCTTTAGCAGAAAGGATGCCATGATAGATTGACATAAATTTTTCTTTCTCTTGATTTTGTTTTCCAATCTAATTCCTAAATATGATCCTGTTAAGTAAATTTCCTTTTTTAAAAAGTATTATTTAGGAAACTAGGTATCTCATTGAAGACATGTAGATCATTAAAAGTTGATTACTTGATACATCATTTGCTGTTTACTGCTGCCGAATGGGGTTGAGAGGAGCCCTGGTAGCATAGTGGGTTGCACATTGGACTATGAATCTCAAGGTCAGCAGTTCAAAACCACCAGCCTATCCTCAGGAGAAAGATAAGGCTTTCTACTCCCATAAAGAGTTACAGCCTCAGAGACCCATAGGGTCTCTATGAATCTGAATTAACTCAAATGGCAGTGAGTGGGGTTGGAACTGTGACCTAATTCCTTGTACATACTTTGTCATAAAAAGTAAGATTATGTTATGACTTTAACTGGGAAAAAGAGATTTTATATGTAATGAATAGTTGCTACTTCAGTATGTAGATTGAGATCTTGATTCTGCTCCATGAGATTTGTATAGGAGATAAATTTTTTAGCAGTAGCAAAGAGAATAATTGGTCTAAATTAGATGTGTGTGGCAGGATGATTCTTTATAAGGAGTTTTTGATAGTTTGTGAACACTTTGAAATTAAAGACAAGACTTAATAGGTCCCAGGTATAAGCCTAGTCAGGGGAACCTTGTTTAGGCAGGGTTGTTGTTAGGCGCTCTGGTGGTGGCACAATGGTTAAGTGCTTGGCTATCAACTGAAATGTTGGCAGTTCACACCCACCAACTGCTTGACGGGGTGTGTGTGGGTGGACCTGGTTACCCACCCTAGGAAACCATGTAGGGCAGTGCTACTCTGTTGTACGGAAATGACACAAATGATAGACGTGGCAAAACTTTGTTGCTTAGTTAACGGTACACTTGTGTAGTTGAAGGTTGTCAAGAAGTATGAGTCCATGTCCATTAACCTATGTGGTTGCTTTAGAATAAATTTTTGATACACAATTTCTTTTTTTTTATACACAATATCTTGATGACATATGCTGCTTTGTTTTATTTTTTATTTTTTGAAGAGTCCCCCGAGGGGGTGCACCGTTCCTGGAAGTACTGCAATACCAGGTCGATGCGTGGAGTGGATGGAGCAAGCTCCTATTCCATCTCCCTGCTCCAAAAATCCATTTAATATATTGTCCTCGGATAGAGGACGTATCAGATATTAAACTGATAAGAACAGATACTATACTTGATCTTAGCCAAAAGGCCGAGAAGCGATGCTGCTTTGTTTTATCTACAGTGAAAGTAGAATAATAAATTATGGTTTTTGCAAGTCAACAGTGGAATTTTTTCCTGTATTGATGGTTTGGGCTCATGTTTGGGAGATTCATCAACAACCAGCCCCAAAAAAAACACCAAAAAACAATCAGCCATTCATTGTTAGTTCACTTGGGATTATCAGCTGATGATCCTCTCCAAAGATATTTCCTTGTTTGAAATCTAAAATGTACACACGGCCACTGGCTGATTTTTGTTTTTATAACCTGTCAAGTGGTGGGTACCTACTATGACATCCTTTTACCTTCCTTGTTGTAGTTGGAGCCCTAGAGGCGGAATGGTTACCCTTTGGCCGGCTAATTGCAAGGTCAGCAGTTCTACTTAGAAGACCCTGTGGGGTTTGCTACAACCCTTTCACAGGAGTCGCCCGATTCATAACAGTAGCAAAATGACAGTTCTGAAGTAGCAATGAAAATAATTTTATGGTTGGGGGGTCACCACAACATGAGGAACTGTATTAAAGGGTCGCGGCATTAGGAAGGTTGAGAACCACTGTACTAGGTGCTCTTCGGAAGAAAGATGAGACTTTCTACTCCCATAAAGTTACAGTCTCGGAAATCACAAGGACAGTTCTACTCTAGCCTATAGGGTCTCTATGAGTTAGCATTGACTCAATGGCAGTGAGTTATTGTAGCTAGGAAGACCTGGTGGCACAGTGGTTAAGTGTTTGGCTGCCAACTGCTGTCTGGTTGAACCCACCCGAAAGTCCTGGTGATCTGCTCCCATGAAGACCACAAACTAGAAAACCCACTGGGGCAGTTCTACTCTGTTATTTGGGGTCAATGTGAGTCAAAATCACTCAACAGCAACTAACAACAATAGGTTTTAAGGAACACCTAAATCGGCTACGAGATACTCTTACACCACTATCTGTGGGTTAGCTTCATTTGGTTGGTTCATCATTGATCTTGCTTGAAAATGAAGTAGATCTCTTTTGGGACTCATTTTTAAGAAAATTGTTCTCATGTAAAAAACTGGGATCTACTCCACAGATCATAAAACTTACTCCTTTAAATTGTACTGTACAATTAGTACAGGTACATTGAGGACATTTTCATCATTCACCAGGGGAATTCCTTAAAGGCACCCCCTTTTTAAATTTTAACTTTTTGTAAATCTGGTGAAGGTTTACAGAGCAGACCATCAGTTTTACAGTCACATCCCCCAATTTCAGATCCCCCTCCCCATTCACGCCCTTTCAGGAACCTCTGATGACGACTGTTTGGTAATCCAAAAACCCAACTCACTGCCATCCCTTCAATCCTGGCTCATCTCTATGCTATAGGACAGGGGAGAACTGCCCCATGAGTTTCTGAGACTCTTTACAGGAGTAGAAAACCCCGTCTCTCTCCCATATTTGGTAATAGGGTTGTTACAAATGTAAATAGTTAGGTAAGATCATACTAGAGTAGGGTAGGCCCTTAAACCAATATGACTGACATCCTTATAAGAAGAGAGAAAGAAACCAACACCGAAGGAAGATGGCAAGTAAAGACTGAGGTGGAGGTAGAGGTAATGCTGCCACCTGCCAAGGACTGTGGGCTACCAGAAGCTAGAGAGTCAACAAAGGATTCGCCTCTAGAGATTTTGGCCTGCCAACCTCTTGATTTCAGACCTCTAGCCTCAGAAGTGTGAAAGAATAAATTTCTGTTTTAAGCTATCAGAACGTGTAGCAAATTGTATGACAGCCTGAGAAAGTTCATGCATTTAAGTATGTTTAATATCAACTGGTCAAATATTGACTATATTGCGTGACCTAATTGAATAGGGAGGTCCGTTTGACCTGGCTTTCAATCTTGAGTTTATTACCTATCAGCTGTATTGTTTTATCACTCTGATACCTGCTCACTCATAGTTAATCATTTCTACTTGTCAGGTTGTTATGACAATTAAAAAAATAATATATATGAAATCTGAAAAGTAAATGTATAAACTGAAATACTGGACACAATAAATGTTCAAAGAAAGGCACCGTTGTGTACACACACAGACATGTACACAGGGGCTTCAAAAAGTTGGTAGAAAAACTCATTGTCTTTTAATTCCTTTTTTCCATGAACTCTTTGATGCCTCCATGTGTTAGTTGCCCTCTGAAATACAAGTGGAAAGCATAGAGTTTAATAACATTACCTTCTTTAGCCCCAGATTGCATTAGTCCTTTAGCAGCCTGATCTCAAGGTTATATAATTATCACTTGAAAAGATTACCAGAAAGTTTTATAATAGCTAAACACAGGAATTTGGATTTATCTCAAAAGCTTTATCTTCCTTTTTTTGGCTGTTGAGATGTTTTTGTAAACTAACAGATGTATATCATTATTTATTTAATAGCCAAGTCTTCTATATGAGGAAGCTTCCAAAAATTAATAAAAAAATGGACTTTAAGTGACCATGGAATTTTCCCACAAACTTGTGGAAGCCCTTGTATGACAGATGGTTCTGAAGCCATGTCACGAGACACCCAGGGAACTGTGGGTATTTCCCTGGAGAGGAGAAAGCTGAAGGCAGCATGCCTGCCTTCTGATATTTGATGGTCCCCTAGTACTACAGGTTGATGGCGGGCATTGTAAACAGAAACAACTGGTGAGTGTTGTAAGCCAGGAAACCAAGGTTCCACTTACGAAAAAAAGAAAGAGCCTTTAACCAGTAGATAGAAAGAGAAGACTCAAAGGACTCTTTCTTCCAGCTCTCGTAAGTATTCAAGCAGTGGCTGAAGAATTGTTGACAAATACTCTCATTAGTCTCTTGCTGAGGTCCATTGTGACTCTTAACATGATGTAATTCCTTGACTTTTGCCAATGAAGCAGTTACTGCTGTGATTAGCGTAAAAGGAACAACATGTGAGTAAGAAAGTGGGGGTGTCATTGTCAAATAGGAGAATCAGATGCCTGCTATAATAGGAGGGAGTTAATATCTGGCTTTTCTGCATAAACAACAGGGCTTTGCATAGGGAATCTATAGAGAAGTTGTGTGTGTACATCTATACAGATACACATACATTGCACATACAGTGTACAGGCACGCACAGGTAGGAGTATATATATACATGCATACATTATATGTTTAGGCAAAGATCACATTATAATTTAGGACTAATTATGGCTACGTGTGCATTTTCACTTTTGGTAGAAAATACTTAGGTTTTTAAGAACCACGTATAATTTTTTCCACTAACTTCATATACCTGACATAGAACGAGTGCTTGCTGATCTTACAGGCTTGGCTTTGACTTCCTGACCACAGTGCTCTAACTCATCACCATCTTACTGGCTTCTCTGAAGAACAGGAAATTACCAGAATGATACCAATCATTTTGACCCAATGTAGACTTAACTCTTTTTGTCAGTGCATTTTATACTTATTAAATAATTCCAAATTTGTTCATGAAAATTCTTGGTAGTGGTCAATAAAGATATTTAACAGAAATAATTTTTATTATGGGGAAATTTAGGAGCCTTGGTGGCTTAGTGGTTATGCATTGGGCTGTGATTCCCAAGGTTAGAAGTTAAAAACCACCAGCTGCTTTTTTCAGGAGAAAAACAGGGCTTTCTACTCCTGGAAACAGTTACAGTCTCAGAAACTCACAGGAGCAGTTCTCCCTGTTTTGTAGAGTCACGATGAGTAGCATTGGCTCGATGGCAGTGAGAATGAGATAGCGCTCTGGGTTAAGCGTTGGACTACTAACAACAGGGTCAGCAGTTCAAATCCATCCACCAGCCATTCTCTCTGGGGGGAGAAATATGAGACTTTCTGTTCCCATAAAGGTTTACAATCTTGGAAGTCCTAAGAGGCAGTTCTATTCTGTCCAATAGGGTCTGTATGATTCAGAGTAAACTCAGACAACAGTGGGGTTGTTTTTGCAGGGGCTGATGGCACAGTGATTAAAGTGTTTGGCTGCTAACCAAGAGGTCTGGGTTGAACCAACCAGCCTCTTCATGGGAGAAAGATGTGGTATTCTATTTCCGTAAAGATTTATAGCCTTGAAAACCTTATGCGGTAGTTCTGTTGTGCCCTATAGGGTTTCTTTTGTGTTGGAATCAACTTTAGTAAATACAGCTTTTATTCAACACAGATCATATCTTGTGTTCTCTTAAAATTTAGGATAGAAACTGCTTATAAGGGAGGTAAATCTAATACCTTTTGTTCATCTATGTAGCACTTTAAAAAATGTTATTAATTTCTTCTGGATAATACATGCTTTCTTTCTAATAGGCAATGCTGGTTTCAGAAAACTTTAATATAGAAGCTCCTAACTATTTGTCCCAGGAATCTGAAGTTCTCATTTATGCCAGACAAGATGCACAGTGCATCGATTGTTTCCAAGCTTTTGTGCCTGTGCACTACCGCTACCATCGGCCACATAGTAAAGATGGAGAGACCTTCATTGTGGTCAATAACCCAGATTTGCTGATGTCCTGTGACCAAGGTGAGGCTGGCAAGTCTATTCTGAGGGTGGAAAATGAAAATAAAGGTATGGTGACAAGTTTGAAGAGGTGACAACAGTAGTGTTGTGTTTCTTTCCAAAAATTTAAATGGCACAATGAAGCATAGATATAGAAAAACATCACAAATATGTAGCTTAGGAAATTATTATAAGGAAAATACTACCCTGGACAAGAAGTAGAACTTTGCCAGTCTCCTTAGTATCAGTTCTATGTGCTCCGTATCTCCTTCTAAAACTAACCCACTAACCTTACCTTGGCTTTCTTTAGAATATTATCATTGAAATGAATATGATTTAGCCTTCCCCACTTTAAGACTTTTTGTTATCCCTCTTATATCTTTTAATTTAAAAGCTTCTGTTCCTATTTTGTCCTTTAAAACTTATCTATTAAAGAAGATGACTTTTTGACCTGTAAGTTTCCTGATAGATTTTGCTGGTTGAATTTATGACCAGCAGGCTCCTCTGATCTCTTTATTTCCTGGAAGTTGGCAGCTGGTTCTAGAAGCATGAACAGATTCAAATCTGATTTCTTTGGCAGGACTATAGGAGATGTATATTGTCTGGTTGTGTTTCTTTTTGTGATATTTGCAGCTTTGATTCTCATTACCTAGAGCCATTCATTTATTAGGAGTTGACAAATAATAATGCTTTAATCTTTTCCCATTTTAAAACTCAGTTATATTTGCCTCATCTACTATTGTTGTGTGCCTTCAAGTAGATTCCAATTCACGGAGACCATATAGGACAGAGTGGAATTGTGCCACGACTCGAGGTCTGTGAATCTTTACTGAAGCAGACAGTTCTCTTTCTCCCACAGAACAGCTGCTGTGTTCGAACCACCAACATTTCGGTTAGCAACCAGGCATGTAACCACAGCCCTACCAGGGCTCCTTTCTCATCTACTGTTTGGTAGATGAGGAAGACCACATATGGGACAGACCACATAGATTCCTGATTTTTCCCCTTTATTTGTTTCAAGGTAATGAGTTAATTTTCTGCCATTTTCAGAAGATGTTTAATTAGCTTGAAAAATATTATTAATTTTCCCATATTTAAAAGTAGTCCTTTCAATGACTTAGTGGTTAAGTACTCAACTGCAAACTGATATGTTGGCAGTTTGAACCTGTGCTTGGCTCTATAGGAGAAAAGATCTGGCAACCTGTTCCTGTAAAGATTGCACCCTAGAAAACCCTATGGGGTCCGTTCTACTTGGACCTAGATGGCTGCCGTGCGTTGAAATTGACTTGTCAGCATGAAACAACAAAGTAATCTATTTGAGTTTGAATCAGTTGAATTTCTTATCATTATTTTTTTCCTTAAAACTTTATCAGTAATTCAATTGGGTTCTTTGCAAGAAATCTAGACCATCAATTTGTGGGGATAAATTCATTTGTGAATGTAAATGTAGCACACTAACATGCAAGTGGCCTTGGAGCTGGGGAACAGCTTTGATTTTTGCTAAAATGTGCCCATCTATGGTTTTCTGATCAACCTTTTATATTTCACTTTCTCAGTGTCAAAGATCTCACCTTCTTGGTGTCTGGGCTTACACGCTTCTTGAAGCAGGCGTCTGTGAGATGTTTGGGAATTTTCGCACCACTGAGATCACTTTTAATGGAGGTGGCGATGACAAATCTCTGGTGCTTTCTACATAAAGGAGCTCAATTGAGGGACAGAGGTCCAGCCACAAACAGCAAACCAATGCCCAGCTGCTTCAGGAAAACCACTCTCCTTGAAGTTTATCTTCTCAGAGATTAATAGTCCGGCCCCTGCTGTCTGTTGGTTGCCGTTGGCTTGGTAGGCCTTTGTCCAGCCTCAGATTTTGAATCTGTCCGTGTCTTTGTTTGGGAGGCCTTTCTTGTAGGCAGCATAATGATTGATTTTGCTTTCTTATCTGTTCTGCTACTCTCTACTGGTACATTTAGTCCATTAACATTCGGCGAAATTATTGATATGTATGTGTTACTGCCATTTTGCTTTATATGTGTGTGTGTCGTGTGTTTGTATGTGTGTTTCATTTCTTTGTACTTCCTGTGTTATTTCCTTACTTTGGGTGTGCTCTTTGTGTGTTGGTTTTTAGGAGGGATTGTTTTGTATGTTGGTTTCAGGTTTGTGTGTTACTGCTTTTGTTTGGGGGCCCTAGTACTTCATTGAGCATTTTTTGTAGTGATGGTCTTGTTTTTGTGAATTCTTTTAGTTTTTCCTTGCCTTGGAATACTTTTATCTCCATTTTTCATTTCTTAACAGTCTTACCACATTTGCAATTTCAGAGTGCATTAATTATCGTGTTTTGTAACCACAGCTCTCTTTCCCCTTGAGTTTCGATTCCATACAGTTCCCATTTCATTTGCCTAAAGCCAGGCTTGGTGAACTGTAGCTGAGATTACTCTGGATCACTACCTTTTTGATTAGGTCATCTATGGCTACCTTTCCAGGGATTCAAGACCAAAACCAAAGCTAAAATGAAAACCAAACTCACTGCTATCGGGTTGGTTCTGACTCATAACAACCCTATAGGACAGAGTACAACTGGCCCTTTGGGGTTCAGAGGCTGTAAATCTTACAGGAGCAGCAAGTCTCAAATCACTGATCTTGCAGTTAGCAGCCTATCTTATAATCTGCTAGACTACAAGGGCTCTGTATCAGAACATTAGGAAAGAGAAAATCAATACGAAGAGAAATCTGTCAATCAACCTATAGTGACACCGTTGCTAATTATTGCAGTGGCAGAGTTGAAGTTGCAACAGAGACCAGATAGCCACAAAACCTAAAGTGTTTTCTATCTGGCCCTTTAAAAGAAAGTTTGCCAACTCCTGACCCAAAGTGTGATGTTGATACCATTATTTTTCCCCTTACAAGTCGCATGTTCTTTATGTCTAGAGGGTCTTTATATCTTAGATTGTTTCTTTCAAGTCTATCAGTCCTTTTTGCAGTTGCAATTTCTGTTTATTTTATGGGCATCTCTTTCTGGGGAGCTTTTGCTGTCTGGAGGAACGTTGTTCTGCTCTGTCGTTCACGTGTCACTTGATGACACTCCTCTTTCTTTCACCTTCATTTTCCCTGCTCTCCTCAGTCTTAATTTCATTCTCATGCTCTTCTCTTCAGTGTGAGACTGTGTCCTGGAAAGGAGTCTGGATGGCTTGGTTTGAGGCTTCAGAGGGACCAGCCCTCGGCAGTGTAATGCAGACCTGTTGTTGAAATAGTAAAGCCCCTGCAAGTTTCATTGCTGCTCTCAGTTTGAGCCCCTGTGGGATGATAAGCACTACCTGTTGGCTATTTGGGGTTTCTTGGTTTCCGGTCCTTCAGTTGTCCCTGTGCTTCTTGGGCTCTCTGCACAGGCGCAGGTATATTACAGGACTTGGTGACTTTCGGTGTTTTTTTCTCCATGTGCATGTGGCTTAGGACTCGGAATACTTTTGTACCGAGTTGTCTTGTAAATGCTGTCCATTAAAGTTTTTTTTTTAATCATTTTACTGGGCGCTGTCCGTTAAAGTTTGCTTTTGTTCTTTAATTTTTTCTTTCTTTCTGGTTTTATGTGGATATGGGGGTAAATTTTTTGAAAACTCCTTCAGTTTTCAAAAATCAGGACTTCAATTCTGAGAAGCCCTTTTCAGATTTTGGCTACTGTTGCTCCAAGTTTGTCCTAACAGAATGTTTACAAAAGTCATAGCACTTTGACCAAGGACGAACGGAAGGTTTTTAGTCATCTCTTTGCTACCATCATGCACTTTGTTACAGGAAAATAAAAGTGTTCTGTTCTTGTTTAGTTTTGTCTCTTTTACTTACTCTAGATAAATTTTTAAAAGTGCCCCTTCATGAGTGAGCATGCGGGGTTCTGATATTATTCTCTTTCTTGATTGGAGTGCTCTTTATATGAGTAGGTTTGCGATATGCAAATGTATTTAACTGTATAATGTAACTTCTATGCAGCCTTCATAATTCTGTCATTTCTAAGGCATTCACATAGAGCAAGTTACTGAAATAAATGCGTGTGGGAAGTGGGTCCAAAGCATACACTATGTATGCTTTAAAAAGTTCATGGAAAAAGTAGATATTTTATAAAAATTCCATTTTCCAAGAACTCTTTTAAGCTCCTTTATCTACCATGGTACCACTCCCTCAGTCACCCTTCAGGTCTGGCAATGAACTCAGCCACATGTCACAAATTTCGTCAAACATTAGGTTTATAGGAACAATAACACTATTGCATACCTTAGAATAATGAGATTTAAAGGACACATTTTCCAAGGACAGAGTTCAGAAGGGTTAGAAAAGAAGGAAGAATGGAAACAGAAAACAGAGAGGAGATGGGATAAGTGATGTTACATTGTGCCAATTGCATTCAGTTACATGACCTGAAAGACTTGCGTTAGGGTCAGTTTAAGTCTAGATTATAGTACAAATACAGGTTTTCTGACATCTTGTTCTACCTACTTTTCCCCCTCAGAGTTCCCAGTTTTGAAATGCTGGGCTCAGTCAGAAGTGGCAGCTCCTTGTGCTTTGAGGAATAAGGATACCTGCCAGTGGAAAAATATGAAGTATAAAGCAGTAAGTTAATTTTTTTTTTTTTTTTGCATTTGAATCATGCTGCCTCAAAAACTTTCTGTAACGTTTCTATCACATTTAAGTGTTTTACGATGAACATCTTATACCATAGACTACTGGAAAAAGTAGTTTTGTTTGCTTTTTTTGCTACCGATGACTGCAGTGGCTCTTTACCTGAGCAGAACCATAGAGTAATTTGTGGGCTACAGGCTTAGCCTCTGCTCTCTTAGTCGTGCACATGAGTCCAGAGCTAGGTCTAGTTGATGTGCTTCCCCACTCTTCCCAAATTTTGCTTATTTTGTTGTTGAAAATATATACAACAAAACACATACCAGTTCAGTCGTGTGCATTTCAATGACATTGATTTCATCATTGGAGTTAAGCAACCTTTCTCACCCTCCTTCCTGAGTTGTTTGCCCCAGAGTGACCTAAGTGCACTGTTCCCACTAAGGTTCTTACCTAATCTGTTCGGTTGCCATTGTCAATTTGATCCTGTGCAGATAGTTCTTCAAAGAGTGTGATGCTCAAGGTGGGCCTTTGTTACTGGTTCAGCTAAATTACTGTTTTGTTTCAAGATGGCTTCAGGAGATAGTTTTGGTTTCAGGTTTAAAGGCAATAGTTTCCGGGTTTTTTCCACCCTGCATGGCTCCAGAAAGTCTAGAGTCCATTAGAATTTGAAGTTCTAGTTTGCACTTCCCCTTCCCCTTTTGAATCAGAATTTTTTTTTAAACATTTTATTAGGGGCTCATACAACTGTTATCGCAATCCATACACACATCAATTGTGTGAAGCGCATTTGTACATCGTTTCTCAAAACATTTTCTCTCCACTTAAACCCCCGACATTAGGTCCTCATTTCTCCCCTCCCTCCCCGCTCCCCCTCTCTCATGAGTCCTTGATAGTTTATAAATGGGTATTTTGTCATATCTTGCCCTGTCCGACGTCTCCCTTCACCCACTTTTCGGTCGTCTGTCCCCCAGGGAGGAGGTCACATATAGTTCCTTGTAATCAGTTCCCTCTTTCCTACCCACTCTCCCTTTACCCTCCCTGTTTCGCCACTCACACCACTGGTCCTGTAGGGCTCATCCGCCCTGGATTCCCTGGATTTTCAGTTCCTATCTGTACCAGTGTACATCCTCTGGTCTAGCCAGACTTGCAAGGTTGAATTCGAGTCATGGTAGTGGGAGCGGGGAGGAAATATTTAGGAATTAGAGGAAAGTTGTATTTCTCGGCGTTGTTACATCGCACCCTGACTGGCTCATCTCCTCCCCGAGACCCCTCTGCAAGGGGATCTCCAGTGGCCTACTAATGGGCTTTGGATCTCCACTCCGCACTCCCCCCATCATTCACTATGTTAAGATTTTTTTGTTCTGATGATGCCTTTTACCTGATCCCTTCGACACCTCGTGGTTGCATAGGCTGATGTGCTTCTTCCATGTGGGCTTTGTTGCTTCTGAGCTTGATGGCTGCTTGATTACCTTCAAGCCTTTAAGACCCCAGACGCTATTGAATCAGAATTCTTCTATAGAATTTTTTATCCAAATGTTCAATAATGGTAGTCAGGCACTAGCTGCTCTCATGGCAAGGAGGTAATTGTTCCCTAGTCATCAGTCACACATTCCAAAATCCAACCCCACTGCCACTGGGTGGATTCCAACTCATAGCAACCCACATAGGAACAGACAGTCTAATCTTTCTATCAGATAGCCGCTGGGAGGTTTGAACCACCAGCCTTGGGATTGGAGCCTCACATTTAAATCGCTGTGCCACCACGTCTCCTTACACATTACATATCCTCCTCCTATTCCAGACTTTCCACCATTGCTTCAGGCCAATGGAGATCACTTGTGCCCTGGATGACTGCATGCAAACTGTTATGACGACAGGCACTACACAACCAACTAGGACTTAGAACGGCAGCATTAGACACATTATCAAGTCATTTAACTGGGGTTTCCCATGAAACTGTGATGCAAAACCTCCAAACCAAGGTACCAAATCCTCTGCGCTTAGCTGTATATAAGAACCTCAGTTCTCTAGTGAATCCAGACTAACACAATACCTTTCCGGTGAAGGAGGTGTTTGTGTTAAAACAAAGATGTCTTGATAAATTGACTGAACTGCCTTCAAATAATTGTTCACTTTACTAAACTTCTATTTTTCTAAGAAAAATTATGACTATTAAAAAAAAAAAAAAGAACCCCAGTCATGAACTTTTTTTGTGGTCACTATAAATGTATGTACCACAGACTTTTGCCAATTGAACAGCTCATTGGTAGCAATTGCATTAATCCACTGTATAGACATACCCTCTGTTGTTGTCAGGTGCCGTCAAGTCAGTTCTATCTCGTAGTGAACCTGGGTTATTAATAGAATGAAAACGACCTGGTGCTACGCCATCCTCACAATCATTCCAGCGTTTGAACCCATTATTGCAGCCACTGTGCCAATCCATCCCATTGATGGTGCCTTCTTTTTCTATGACTCTCTACTTTACCAAGCATGATGTCCATTTCCAGGCATTGATCCCTCCTGGTCACCTGTCCAAAGGATCTCACAACTCTTGTTATGAAGTGGCTATGTTCCTTCTAAGACAAATGTGTTTGTTCTTCTGGCAGCCCATGATACTGTCAATATTCTTTGCCAACACCATAATTCAAATATTTCATTAATTATTGGGTCTTTCTTAGCTATTGTCCAGCTTTAGCATGCCTATGAGGCTATTAAAAATATCATGGCTTGAGTCAAGTGCACCATAGACCTCAAAGTGACACCCTTGCTGTTGAGCGTGTTAAAGAGGTCTTATGCAGCAGGTTTACCCAGTGCAAAAGCAAACTCACTGCCATCATGTCAGTTCCTTTCCCCTGACTTCCTTTCTCCCACTGACTGAGTAGTATTCCACTGTATGTATGTACTGCGCTTCGTTTATCCATTCATCTGGTGACAGACATTTAGGCTGTTTTAACCTTTTGGCTATTGTGAATAGTATTGCAGTGAACATTGGTGCACAAATCTCTTTTTGAGTCTCTGTTTTCAAATATTTTAGACAGACATCTAGGAGTAGAATTTCTGGACCAAATACGAGTTTTATTTTTAGTTTCTTTTTAAGGAACCACCACACTTTTCCACAATGATTGTACCATTTTGCATTCTTTTTAAATCATTTTATTGGGGGCTCATACAACTCTTATCACAATCTATACTTACATCAATTGTGTAAAGCACATTTGCACATTCTCTGCCCTCAACATTCTCAAAAAATTTGCTCTTCACTTAAGCCCATGGCATCAGCTTCTCATTTTCCCCCCTCCCTCCCTACTCCCCACTCCTTCATGAACCCTTGATAATTTATAAATTATTATTTTGTCATATCTTACACTGTCTGA